GTATGATACATTTTGTCCAGAGGATGATGATAATCGAGAAATGGAAGGTAATTTCCCCAATCAACATCTAGGCCAAGAACCAAACAATCAAGCAAAGGCATTTTATGGCTTGCTTCATGCATCTACAATTCCACTTGGTAGTTCTGAAAGAAATGAGACAATGCTTAGCTGGCTCTCTTATATGTTGCATACAAAGACTGCAAATAATATAACTGCTAATGGTTTTAATGCCATTCTCAAAGGATGTGGGAGGTTGTTAGGTGTTGAAGATTAGAAAAAAATTCCTACAAACTTTTATGAAGTAAAAAAAACATATGAAAGGGCTTGGGTTAGTTTATCTAAAAATTGATGCTTGTGTTAACAATTGCTTTTTATACTATGGGAAGCACATGAAAACATTGACTACATGTCCAATTTGTGGAGAATCGAGGTATAAATAGAAAAATCCAAGGAAGAATAGACAAAAGGACATTTCGAGAAATTCTCTTTAGTATTTGCCAATAATACCTCACCTTCAGAGGCTATACATGTCTTGAAAAATAGCTGAGCACATGACATGGCATTTGAAATGCTGTGGTGATACGGATGAGATCATTCATCCAACACAATCAAAAGCATGGAGACATTTTGATGAAATGCATTCTTCTTTTAAAAAAGAACCTCGTAATGTACGATTAGGTTTTGCTACTGATGGTTTCAACCCATGAACTCATTCTTCAACCTCCTACTCTTGTTAGCCAGTTTTTTTGATTGTTTATAATGTCATGACCCAGAACCCAAATTCGGGGACGTGACAGATGCCGTACACTTGTGAGAGGGTCCCACAAATGCACAACGCTCGAAACTTATCATACCGTACTCTGATACCACAAAATCTGAAGATAAAATTTTAAAATTTGCTTTAATATCATAAAATCTCCAAATAAAGTCTAGTTTACAAGATCATGATTTATATCTAAAATCTATATTCAATTTACAAGATGGCTAGCCTTTTAACTTGTCACTCCCCTCGTTTTTCCTGTCTTTGACTTTGCTCCCTGAAATGGTGGACAAGGAAAAACTATGAGATAAACTCAGTAAATAAATATGGATAGCCCTTAATTAAACTTATAGCATGCCAACAAGTATAATCATGAAAAACGGATACAGTACGGAACGAAATAGACGTCCCTTCTATAGGTCGTGGCTAGTGTTATAAACCTCCCATTGGCAGGCTACACTATTTGCTGGTGTATAACCCCCACTAGCAGGGTCACTCGAATAAACCGGTTCTATCAATAACATGTCGACATGTGCTAGTGTTTTTAAACCTCCCACTAGCGGGCACACTAATAACATGACTACATCGGAGACAAAACAGGTAAAAGTTAACAGAAAAACCATAATTCACCTATCACTTTCAGATCATCAGGACAATCAATTAAATTTTGAGTAGGCATGCTCAATTTAATGAAAAGCATAAAAATTTCATTTCAAATCAGTCATACTTACTTTTGTATAAAACAGGTTTAGTCCCGCCATCACTTCAAAAACAAGTCAAAACATGCTTTTAAAAACTGTACGAGCATTACCATAAATTTACTTACCTCACTCTGGAACTCAAGCCAAGTACTCGGGTGACAGAACACTCAAGAACCTAATCAAAATATCCCAGAATTAATAATATACTATCACAAATTCAAAGTGAAAACTTCATTAGGATCACCCCTAATCACAATGCTATTTCTATTAGTCTCCATATAATCGGACAACTCCAAATTTATTCTTATATTACAAACTAAACATTTCATCCCCGTTAATTGTTGGCCATTAGTGCGTAAACCGTACCCGTGAACAGTAATCACGTAATGAACAGTAACTGCAATTCCATAAATTGGCAAAACAATAGCTAATCTCATGGGATTTTCTCCAAAAATACAACAGCCAAAATAAACTAATTTTCTACTTGAATTAAGCTAAATCATGGTCTAATTACTGTCAAAATTCTCCCCTATTTCCAGCAGAAAATTCAGACACATAGGGCAATGAATAAATGGACAAAATTCAGCAACTAATTGAGGAAATTTTGGCTTGGAGGAGCTGTCCATACCAGAATTTCAGCAAGCAAACCAAAGCTGCAGATTGAGGGAGGAGCCGACGAGAAGTGCAGAAAATTCAGGGGGAATCTACCGGAAATTGGAGAAACCAAGAGAAATTAAGGTAAACCCAAGCCAATTTAAGGAAGAACAGAGAAATTGGTGGCTGTTTCTTACTAGAAACCAAAGCAATTCGCCCCCACAAAGCAGGAGCAACAGACGGAAGGAACAGAGCAAGGCAGATCTGGGATTTTTCTGCAGAGGGGGAGGTTTCTAAGCTCCAAATCTGGTTCTTAAACAAGAAAAGAAGGGCAAAATCAAGCTTTTCTTACCAGTTTTCAAGGGGAGGTGTGTCGGTGGCTTGGGTCTTGTTGCTCGGTGCAAGGAGAAGAAAAGAAAAGCAGACGCCCGAGTGAGGAAGAGGAAAGAAGGAAAAAAAATAGCTGATCCTTATCCAAATCCTTTTCTCTTTTAAGTCCCTCAAGTTTCAAAATATTCACATTAGGCCCCAAAATAATATTTTCTCACACAAAGGTCCTTAACTTAAATTCTAGAATTTCAAAAAATTTTGGATATTACATATAATTTGCCACTAGAGATGTGCATGCAATCAGAGTTTACTTTTCTTACATTGGTTATTGCAAGTCCAAAAAGCCTAGGTAAAAATATCGATGTTTTTTTTCAACCTTTAATTGAAGACTTAAAAATGTTATGGTCGAATGGTGTAGAAATATATGATAGTTATCGTAAGCAAAACTTCATAATGTGGGCTATGTTGATGTGGACCATAACTGATTTTCCAGGTTATGGTATGGTGGCTGGTTGGAGCACTCATGGCCAATTGTCATGTTCTTATTGTATGGAGATGACACAATCTTTTTATCTTCAAAATGGTCAGAAACCATGTTTTTTTTATTGTCATTGTCAGTTTTTACCAGAATCACATTCTTTTAGATTTGATCAGAGTAATTTCTTGAAGGGTCTGGTTAAATTAGGCAGTCCGCCTCCTCGATTGGATGGTGTTTCAATGAGTTACCAAGTTGAAAACCTTCTTGATGTGTTGTTTGGGAAACCCTTTGAAAACCAAACAATTGACGGTTTTGGGAACATCCATAATTGGGTGAAAAGGTGCATTTTTTGGGAACTTCCTTATTGGCAAGATAATCTTATTCGACATAATCTTGATGTAATGCACTGTGAGAAAAATTTCTTTGATAATATAATACACACTGTTATGAATGACAACAAGACAAAAGATAATGGGAAAGCAAGATTGGATTTAGCCATTTATTGTGATCGAAGAAAACTACACATGGGATATAATACGCATGGTAAGCTTGTGAAATCTAATGCTAGTTATGCACTGACATCCGAAAAACAAAGGCTTCTATGTGCATGGCTAAAATAGTTGCGTTTTCCAAATGGGTTTGCTTCCAACATATCAACATGTGTCAACTTGAATGAGTCTAGGTTAGTCGGGATGAAAAGTCATGATTGTCATGTTTTCATGGAATGACTAATTCCAATTGTTTTTCACGGTCTATTGCCATCTGCTATTTAGGGTCCTTTGATCGACATTAGTAACTATTTTCGTTCACTTTGTTCCTCGGTCATTAAAGTTACTAAGATGTAGAAGTGGGAGGCAAAGATTGTTGAAATAATTTGTAAGTTAGAAATAATATTCCTCCCAGCATTCTTTGATTCTATGGAACATCTAGCAATTCATCTTCCATATGAGGGCAGAGTTGGTGGTCTTGTTCAATTTCGTTGGATGTACCCATTTAAAAGGTAAAACATACAAAGAAATTGATAATTTTAAAACTTACTTTTGATTACTTTTTTTTAAAATTAATCTTATCAGTGTTTCTTTTCAGGCGCATGCGCAAACTTAAGAGTACCATAGGGAATAAAAATCATGTCAAGGCATTTATATTATACGAGATATCTCACTTTTGCTCTCATTATTTTGGGGATAATGTTGAGACATGTTGGAATCAGCCTCCAAGGAACTATGGTGACATTGGAGCCAACGTCCCAGGTAAGCTATCCGTATTTTGTTCCCCTGGTGAATTAATAGGTGCCCACTTGTGTACACGATATTTAACATTGGAGGAGAAAGATGCAGCTGAACTATATGTCTTGTTAAATTGCAAGGAGGTTGATGTTTGGGTAACGTAAGTTTTACTTCTTAGAAAAATAACAACTACACAATGTTTAATAGCCTATATGATTTTCATAACGTTTTAATTAATAAATCAATGTTATTTTATAGTAAATTTGAGGAAGATGTTGGTGCAAATTTGCCAAATGAACAACTACAAAGATTGCGAACAAATAATTGTGTTCAATGGTTTAAAAATATGGTAATAAATTGTTATATATTATTTTTTCAAATTTTTAATTAAATATTAACTATAACTAAATTAAATTTTTTTTCAAATATAGGTGTTTAGTGGATAATATGAAATCAATGAACAACTTATCCATCTTGTAGTTGGCCCGATCTTTGAAGTGATTGTTTATAATGGGTTCTACGTGAACGGCTTTAGATTTTTGACTGAAGAGTTTACTAGTAATAGAACGACATATAATTGTGGTGTTTCTGTTAAAAGAACCACCATTAATTCTGCAGATGGAATTGATTATTATGTTGTCTTAAAAGAGGTGATCGAGTTATTTTATTATGGACACTCAGGCCATCAAGAGACTATAATATTGTTTAATTGTGATTGGTATGACACGGACCAAGGAATACGTGTCAATGTTGAACACGAAATTGTTGATGTCAATTCAAAGTTTAAACTTTCAAATGGGGAGCCATTTTGCCTTGCTAGTCAAGCACAACAAGTTTATTATACTCCATATCCAACAGCCATCGATAGAACTACCTGGGGATGGTTGGCAGCATGCAAAATCAAATCTAGACATCTAATTGAGACCTCATCTACCTCATTTTCAGGAGAGGTTGATGATATTTTTCAAGATGATGACCCCTCCATAATCAAGGCTCTTCATTAGCTATAAATTTAACTACATACCAATCACTTCAACTATGTGCAAAAGGTGTTACAGAAGTTGAGGTTGATGCTAATACATCTAAAGAAGAGGAGGACTATGGAGAAGAAAAAGATTCATAATCCTTGGGAAATAGTGATAATGTTGAGGATGATGATGATAGCGATGATAGTGATGATTAATTGAAACATTTGTATTATTACTTATTAAGTATATGTATTAAAATTTCTTTGTCTTATATATATTGTTTTATTAAGTTATATATTTTTCATTTAAAATAGAATCATTGTATGACTGTTATAAATTTGTTACTCGTTATTTGTATAAATGTATTAATAACTATTTTGTTATTCATTTTTCAGAATGTCTGGAAATCCTATAGGTACAGCAAGGAGGAGATCTTCCTCCTCAGGATCACAAGGGCAACACAATCTTAATCACCCGCAGCTGTTTACTAACAGTGGCATAGCTTCGGATATACAGCAAACGATTGATCCATTAATGGATTATAATTTTGCACCCGATCATGAGAACGAGGGCCCTTCATCCTCAATGGGGAAAAAAGGATGGAGCAGGAATTTAAAAGGAATACGCCCTCCAGAAAATAGAGACAACAAGAAATGGGTTAAACTCACTGATGATAAGCTCTAATTTGCTGATCCAAACATCTCTCAGGCTATCACTTCACTATGGAAGTCACGTTTTGATGGCCCGTATTTCACATACGAGCGTGTCCCCCAAAGCAAGATTGCTTAAATTTATAATTGTTTCAAGATAAGATTAAGTTTTAGAAAATTTAATAAAATGAATAGATTTAGCAATTTCTAATAAAAACAAATAATTTCACTACTAAACTAGAATTTACATTTCTTAGACATCTAATGTTATTCATTTCTTATTTTGCAGGCACTTTACTGGTGGGATCCTACAAATAATCGCCATGTGTGAGATGCATTCCTAAATTATATGAACATAGATGAAGTGACAATCTCAGGGATGAGAAGTTGAAATTGGACGAGAACTCAACCTATGTCCCATGTTGGATCCCAACTCATATATGGCCTCAGCCGCTGACATATTGGGACTTTGATGAATATAAGAGGCTCAGTGCAAGGGGAGCAAAGAATAAGAGCTCTGGGGAAAGGATGACTCACACCACTGGGTCCATTAGCTTTGGCATCCATGAGATGCGGATGGTAATCAAGCTTAATTAATAAAAAATTTAACATATTAAATTTTATTTAATAATAAATTGTGTCAATTTATACTAACCAAATATATTGCATTATCAATATTTTGAAATATAGACTGAATCTAGAGGTGGTGTGCAACCTCCCCATCAAGAGAAATTCAAGGAGACACACCTTCAGAAAAAAGGCGGGAAAGGATCAAGAGCTGGCGTGGATCAATGAAAAAGCAAAGCATCGATATGTAAGTATATATAACATATAAATTAGCATAAAATGTATAGTTATAAGTGTCAAAAAAATTTATGTAATTAATCTAAATTATTTAGTAGAGTCTACTTTTTTTTATAGATTCTTTCAAACTGCTTTTGACAACATTATTACTATTATTATTATTTTTTCAAGATACTTATGTTGCAGAGTGCACAGAGAGTCATGGCTCTAATGTTAGTTCGTGGCCACGCATGGATAACGAGGCATGGGTTAAGGCTGTTGGAGGTTGCTCATCTAATTTCATGCCAGGGATTGGCTCCCAAGTAAATCCAGAGATGGTTGGTTTTACTTACAGGAAGAGACAACCCGAGGAAACATAATAGCAGCAATGATGGTGTCTGACTATGAGGAGGCATAAGCAAAACAAAATGAGGAGTTAGAAAGACAACACCAACAAATTGCTCTGATGCAACAACAGCGGGCCAATATGACACAAGCTCAGAATAATATGAGCCAAATAATTGCACAGTCTATTGCAGCAGCTCTAGCAATTCATGGCATCTTTCCTCAGGCAGGTCATCATCTAGTTGCCCCACCACAGTCGTCACATGGTCCTGGCTCAATTCTTCGCATGAATTCAACTTTTACCTACTCCATTGATTCTACACAAACCTTTCCTATGGTTCCTGAATATCAACAGCAGCAACAGCAGTTTCTACCTCGAGATGATGATGCATACCATCTTGTTTTTGATCCAGACTATTAGGGTCCTTAGTTTTTTTTTTTTTTTTTTTCTACTACACACATTATCTGCACACTTTGCATGGTTGGCTTTATTTCTGTTAGTACTTTAAACTATTAGCTTTAGCTTTTCATTACGATATCTTTTCTTATTTTGCTTGCTCTCCAGTGATCATACTTCAAAAGGTATGAAGTTTTGGACTGCTTTGGAGGTTAATTATTATTAACTGAATATTGTGGGCATTTAAGACAATGGTGTGTGATTGCCATACTTTGTGGTTGTGGTTGTGGTTATGGTTATGGTTGAAAAGGTATAATTGTTTTTAGCATGCTAGACTTGTAGAATATATGTGTTTTTCATTGCAAATGCAATTAAAAAAATTGGTTTTGATCATATGTATGGGGAAACTCTGTAAAATTTTTTTCAGAATTTATGCCAAGTAAAATGACCAAATTGCAAAAAAAATCTATTGAATAATTTCAAATTATTGCATTTTTTATAACAAAATTGTAGAATTGCAAATGCATATTAAAAAAAAAAAACCTTTTATCATATATACGAGGGAATTTTTTTAAAATTTTTTAAATTTATGTCCACTAAAATGTAAGAAATCTGTTGGATAAATTCAGAAAATGACATGAAAACGAAATCTGGAAAGGAACTTAGGGAAAATGGATGAAATCTAGAGAGGAAGCTGGGGAATTTTTACCAGCCATGCTAGCAACGTAATCCAAGTCGGTAAATTAAGGTTCCCACTTGCATCTTGTTGGCGAATTAAACTTTCCAACGTGATTCTAGTCGGTAAAGTTGCCAAGATAATACCAACAGGAAACTGGTCGGTAATTTGGGCACGAATTGCAAATTTTTTGGTTTTTGGTTTCCACTCCCGGTATATTACCCATGTGATGTTTGTCGTTGAAATTAATACTGACTAAACACACATGGGTAAATTGGCTTATATATACTTCCACCCACCACTCTACCTGGCTTATTTCTTCTTGTCTTCCTTCGTATTCTTATTCTTCTTCTTTTTTCTTCTCCTCCGGCTTGCCTCCATTTTTTCTTCCATTCAATGCTGTTGGATTAATTGTTTATGTTTATAATTACATTATTG